TAGCACACGGAACTATATTCAATATCTTGTAATAACCTATAATGGAAAAGAATCTGAAAAAGAATAGATAGATATATGTATATGTATACCTGAACCACTTTGCTGTATTGTAAATCAGCTATACTTCAATTAAAAAATAAAAATTAAAAAAAGCATCACAGTCCATGACCAAGTAGGACTTATCCCAGGATTGTTGGGGTGGTTCACCACAGAAAATTTAATCAATGCTATGCACTACATTAATAGAATCAGAGAAAAAAACACATAAACATCTCAATTGCTGCATAAAAGGCAATTTTAAAAATCCAGTACCCTTTCTTGATAAAAACACTCAAAAACAAGGATAATCTGATAAAGGCCTTTGATGAAAACCCCATGTCATACTCAGTAACGAAAGCCTTCCCCTTATGATCAGGAATAAGACAAGGATGTTCATTTTCACCACTTCTACTCACCATTGTCCTGGAAATTCTAGTAAGAGTATTAGGCAAGAAAAATAAAATGCATTCAAATTGGAAAAAAAGAATAAAACCATCCCTATTCACAGATGGCATGATCTTATACATAGAAAATCCTTTAAAACTCACAAAAAACTATTAGAAATAATAAGCAAATCCAGCAAAGTTGCAAGATACAAGATCAAGCCACAAAAATCAGCTGTATTTCTATACACTACCAATGAACAACCCAAAAAATGAAATTAAGTAAAAAAATTCATTTACAATATCATAAATATATAAAAAAATAAAATAGCTAGGAATAAATTAAACCAAGTAGAGGGTGAAAGACTTGTACACTGAAAAGTACAAAAGATTGCTGAAAGAAATTAAAGAAGACATAAATAAATGGACAAACATCTCATGTTGATGTATTAGAAGACTTAGTATTCTTAAAATGGCAATACTAACCCAATGCAATCTACAAATTCAATGCATTCTCTATCAAAATTCCAATAAGCTCTTTGTAGAAAAGGAAAAGCCAATCTAAAAATTCATATACAACTTCAAGGGGCCCTAGCAATTCAAAACAATATCGAAAAAGAACAAAGTTGGATAACTCACACTTCCTGATTTCAGAATTTACTATAAAACAATAGGAATCAAAACAGTGTGTTACTGGCATAAGGACAGATAGATAGACTAATGGAATAGAATTGAGAACCTAGAAATAAGCCCTCACATCTATGACTGTAATGGACTAAACAATTATGTCCTCCTCAAATTCACATGTCAAGGCTCTAACCAATACACCCAAAGCCAACAGTAAGAGGCAAGATGCGGTGCAACTTGAATTCTTTTATATATAGATGGTGAGAGTGCAAATTGGTACTACCATTTTGGAAATCTGTCTGGCAGTATTTACTAAAGCCAAACATGAGCCTATCCTATGATCCAGGAACCCCACACTGGTCTATCCCAAGACAAATGAGCACTTAGGTCCACCAAAAGACATGTACAAGAAAGTTCTAAATAGTTCCAAGCTACAAACAGTCCAGTGTCAATCAACATCAGAGTTGATAGTTTGTGGTATAATCATACAATGGAATATACCAGAGCAATGAAAAATAACTATATGCTGCTATGTGTAAGAATATGGTTTAATCTCAGACATAATGTAGACTAAAAGAGGCCAGAATAAGAATCATATTGTGTGATGTTCCAAAACCAGAAAAACTAACCTATGGAAACAGAGATCAGGACAGCAGTACTTAACTTTGGGAGGGGTAGTCACTAGGGAGGGACATGAGGGAACCTGCTGGAATGTTGGAAATATTCTATATTTTGATCTGGGCAATGTGTACATAGATGTATATGTGTGTAAAGATTCATCAAGCTGCAGACTTAACTTTGTGCACTTAACTCTATGTAAGAAAAAAAGAAATACACACATACTGAAAAGTGCCAAAAGAAAATGTAAGTGGGGAATATTTGTATAATCATAAGTGATAACAAAGGTCTTCTTAAACATGACCCCAAAGAAAAAAACTAGAAAGCGAAAAATAAACTTAACTTCATAAACCAAAAAATATAAAACTACATGGCAAACAAGCCAGGAAACTTTATTTGCAAAGTTTTATGTAGTCTTTATATAGCAAAGAATTAAGTATTTTAATATGTAAGAAGCTCTTACAAATCAATAAGGAAAAGACAAAGGCAAGACTAGGAAATTTACCAAAAAAGAAATCCAAAGTCATTAAACATATTTTAAAAAATACAAATTAAAACAAAATACTACTTTTCACTTATCAGATAGGCAAAAATGAAAAATATATACAGAATTGGACTTGGTATAGGGAAATAGCATTCTCATATATTACTGGTGGAGCTAGAGATTGGCCCAACTTTTCTGGAAGGCATTTTTAAATATAGTACTTTCAAAACACCAAAATGAGCACACTTCCTTAAACAAGCAATTCCACAACAGAAAATTTATCTTAAGGAAGAAATATGACAAACTTATAAAATGTTTGTACAATGATGGTCAATGCAGCACTGTTAAAAGCAACAAAATAAATTCATATAATAAATTATATATATTTTTTTAAATAGCTACTCTTTATGAAGCACATATGAGCTAATTATATTTGTTATCTCATTTAGTTTTCACAAGAATTCTGAGAACTATTATATTATTCCCATTTTCATCTGCAGATGAGAAAATTGAAGCTCAGAAAAATAATGAGATTTGCTCAAACTCAACAATCTAATAAGTGGCAGATACAGAATTAAAACAAATTGGTCTAACTCCAAAAGCCAATGCTCTTTAATTTAGATTACATTTCTTGACATGGAAGAACATTTAAACCATAGCATTAAATGAAAATGTAGTTTATAGAACAGTTACATGGTTTGATACCATTTTGTAAAATATACACATACCTATAGATATTAGATGTATAGATTTGCATAGGAAAAATTTTAGAAGGGTATACATGAAAATGTTAATAAAGGTTATCCCTGGGGTGTTTGGGGAATTTTTTTTAATTTATGCTTGTTTTTCTTACTTTTCTACAATAATTACATTTAATTTATAAATGGAAAAGCAAATCTACAAAACCAATGCCCCTTTGAAGTTACAAACCATAGACCATCACCTATTTTACTTCAAACGTAGCATCCATTTGCTTCACACATTTTTAGATAAATAAATAAGGCAAATCTTTAATATATTTATATCCGACAAACTCGTCTTGAGCACCAAATATGTTCTAGGTACTGTTAGGTAAATGATTTTATTTCAGTGCATCTAAAGTCTCCTTCTGCTCCTAAGTATGGCACCAAAGGTACGCACTCTCCCTCTCACTCCTTAATTACTACTATTTGCATTTGGATTTTAAGTCTTATCTCTAATTATTTCATGCAATTAAACCCATATTAAAAGAATATCTGGGGCTTCCCTGGTGGCGCAGTGGTTGAGAGTCCGCCTGCCGATGCAGGGGACACGGGTTCGTGCCCCGGTCCGGGAAGATCCCACATGGCGCGGAGCGGCTGGGCCCGTGAGCCATGGCCGCTGAGCCTGCGGTCCGGAGCCTGTGCTCCTCAACAAGAGATGCCACAACAGTGAGAGGCCCGCATACCACAAAAAATAATAATAATAATTAAAAAAAACATACACACACACACACACAATAGAAAAAAAAGAAAAAAGAATATCTGGCATCACACTACCAATCCTTGGCCTGCCTCACCACCTCTGTACTACCCCGCTCCTGAGAGTAGGGGGCGTGCTGGCCTGAAGTGGATTCTTAAGGTTTATTTCAAAAAGGGAGGGGCAAATCTCAAAACATGTACCCCACTGGCCACCACCATCAAGTGCAAATTCCGCACCTGTTAAGTATTCCTTCTCCTATCTCTCCCCCACCTTCCTTACTCCTTTGCTTTCTGGAACTCTGGCTCCTAACCCTAACTCTCCCTTCTGCTATAAGACCATTGGATGGGGTGATTTTAGAACCCATTCTCACTGGATCTCCTCTCCTCTCTCCAGCCCTCCAACCATATATGACTAATTCAGCAAGAAAACACTTGGAGCTTGAGTTTCCACAGTCAGGACAGCTCTTCCCAGAGAAGATGGAAAACAGCTTCTCACCTGTCCCGTGAGACAGAGAAGAGGATGCTCCTGCAGCAATGAACTGCCGAGGGGTGTGTCAGGATGAGAGTGAGAAGGAAAGCAAAAGCCTCCTCTCTACACTCTTACTGTGAAGAAAGAAAGATACGTTTGACTTTGATAATGTGAGTGTTAGAAGGACTAAAGCCTTCGTGGTACCACTGAAAACAGTACGGGCACTCTTTGGAAAGGCTGGCTTTTAAAAGTTTTTGTTTTGTTTTGTTTTTTTAATTAAAAGAAAAACCACAGAATTTGGCCACATCACCCCAATACCGGTAAGAGTTTAAAGAAAAATAACATCTAGCAGGACCATTTACTAGCACATGCCCAGCAGTAATCACACTCTGCGATAAAACTGTGGTTATACAAAAAGTCAGTAGCCGATGAAACGTGGATCTGGTTGATGGCAACAGTAACCTCTGTTCAGGTCTGCCGCCCTCATGTGGCTGGACGCGTGTTCATCGCTAACATTTTGTTGGTTCGAGTGATAACCTGCTGGATCCTATTTCACACACACAGCTGTGGACCTCCGTAAGAAAACGGGGAGTGGACCGCTCTAAGGCACCGATTCACAGAGCCCTGAGGCCCGGTCACTGGGCGGTGGCGACGCCAGCCTGTGGGCGTCACCACTTCTTGGTAGAGGGTGTCCGCCCCTGCACTCGCATCCACGCTGGGCGCCCGGAGGCATCCCCTCCCCAGGCAGCGGCGAGGCTCCCCCTCTCACCTCCGGGCATCCACCGGCATCCGCCCGCGCGCCCGGAAGAGCTGGAGCTCGGAGGTCCAAACAAAGCCCACGGGTATTGTTGTCTCGTGCGCTCCGAAGGTCGCCTAGACTACCCGGCTCGGCCCCACCCACAGCGTCTGGCAATCTAGACCAGTCTGGTACCAGGCAGAAGATGGAAAAGCCTCCAGAAGAGGCTCCGGCGGAATCATCGGAAAACCAAAGTACAGCCAAGTCCCCAAATGACAGCCACACAGACAGCCAGGAAGACAACAGGCAGAACCAAGATGAAGTGGAAGCAGATGACCAGACTGATCACGGAGGAGCTGACCAGGCTGCCCAGATAGTGTCTGCCCCGGCTGAACCCAACGTAGTTAATCAAGCTGACCACAAAGCATATGAATCCATGAGAGAAAGAACATCTGATCAGGCTGACCTCAGAGCATCCAACCATACTAATGTTGCCGATCGTAGAGCATCTGATCAGGTTAACCGAAGCATGTCAGAACAGATGGACAGCAAGGCATCTAGCCAAGCTGGTGGTGTGGAGTCTGAACAGACTGACCGCCAGATGTCTGCTCTGCCTGAACCAGGTACTTCTGAACAGACTGTACAAAGGGCTTCTGAGCAGATTGATCACAGAATGTCCAGCCTAGCTGAGAGAAGAGCTTCTGAAGAGATTGACTGTAAACCATCTGTCCCATCTTTACAAAGAGCCTCTGAGCAGAGTGATCACAGAATGTCCCGCCCGGCTGACCAAAGAGCTTCTCAACAGATTGAAAGTAGATTGTCTGGCCTGGTTGAGCGAAAAACTTCTGAACAGATTGATCATAGATTGTCTGACCAAGTTGACCACAGAACATCTGTAAAGACGCACCACAAAGTGTATGACCAAGCTACTAAACCAGCTGAACACCAGGCTGCTGACCCTGACAAGGCTGGCAGTGAATGTGACCAGGCTGAGGATTTAGTGGAAGAAGAGGATGATTACACAGAAGACAACCTGTTTGACTATGGAGAACGTAGCCGGTCTGATGATAGATTATTCCACCAGCTTGGCTACAGCAAGGAAGACAAAGAGGCTGACTTCAGAGTACAACCCTGCAAATTTGAGCCTGGCCAGACAGATGGCAGCATATCCAAGGCTTCCCTTGAAACTGAAACGGAAAGTATAGCTGATCTGCAAGCATTCATCCCATTTGATCACAGATTGACCAGTACTTTCCAAACAAAAGACTGAGCCTACTCCCAAAGATTTCCCTCCATCTCATCCAAATTGGACTATATCATCAGTCAAGAAAAAACTCAACCCGCAGAAACCAAGCCTGTAGGTTAAAGGGGCATTTGATACCCACCTGGGAGGTTGGAGGTTAAGCCAGGGGTCTGGCAGAATGCAGGAAGAGGGCACATGTTGTGGTATGTGTGACCCATAGGATTCAGGAAGGGCAGGAGAAGGGTGGGAAATAAAAAGATGGATTGCCTTCTCTGCCACACTAAGTAAGGCCATTCAGAAAGGATCAACGTACCAGGATTCAGGAGACCTGGGTTTCAAGTCCTGGTTCTGCTGCTGACACTGGGACACTAAGTCATTCCCCCTCTGGGCTTCTACCAAAGGAAAGGAATTTGGAGTCAGTTGGAGATCTCTGTGAAGGGAAAAGTATTTGAAGTAGATTGGAGATGTCTAAGGTACCTCCCAGGACTTAAGGTACATTACATTGCCTGGAGAATCAATCAGCCAGGTCTCTCATAATAATGTCTTTGCTCTTAATTCCTGGTGTTCAGATCCCATCAATACTAGATTCCACTGATAACAGTAATGATAGCAACAAAACTTCCTGGGGATTTTCAATTCATTAAAGACTCTCTTGGGGGATATTTCCATTTTAGGTTGATATTTCAGAATACCAGGAAAGAAGGAGTTTTCAGGCACACAATCAACCTTATAAGAAGCAGTTCCCTCCTATAGTATATGAAGATCTTTATCAAGTTTCACTGCGATACATGGAGAAACACCACATTCTGCAAATATTCCGCTCAACCTCTTTTTTAATTGTGAGTTTTAAAGTAATTATAATGTAATCGACAAACTTTGACCTGGCTTATAAGAGGTACAAGAAAGGGCGTTTGCTATAAAAGGGATATAATCTTAATGAGAAGTCAGTAAGTGCATTAAGACGTATTAACCAAAAGTAGTAAATGATAAACACCAAATGAATGATTCTTACCATGATATGAAGCCCTTCAGAGGAATTAGACATCTGATAGGTTGGTTGCTAGGGAAAAAATTTGGCCCAGGGTTAAAGTTTGAGCCAGACTAGGAAGGAATGACAAAATAATGGCAATTGAAAAGGAGAGAAAAAGACTTTTCAGGCAGGAATATAATACTTTCAAAAGATGACCAACCTGTGACCATCTAAGAAGCCACATTCTTTAGGAGAAAAATGACATAGTTAAAAGTTGCTTCTAATTCTTGAAATTACAAATTTTATAGACCTCAGGATATGGGGCTGGAACCTTCTTCAAAGTATGATGTTACTTGGCCAATACAGAATTATAAAATGTTATCACATTTATAAAGTTTTTGCTGTTTTGTGGGTTGTTTTTGTTTCTGTTCTCCTGACGTGTATTTTTATGTTAATATTATTATGCAGCAAGGTATATATACATATATAATAACATATATACATGAAGTAACTTTGTGGTTAGAAAGTTGTAAGTAAGAGTGGCCCACCCCAAATGAAAGCATTTAAACTGGAAGAATTTAAGTTTAAAGAAGTAGGAAATAGAGGAAAGTGCACAAATTTTAAAATCTGTTAGCCCAGGGCTCCAAGCTAGCTTTGTCCCTTCTCGTCTTTGTGATTTGGAGGAAATTACCTAACTTCTGTGAATCTCAGTTTCCTCATATAAAATAGAGATAAGTGGTATTTGCTTTATTAACACTGCTGTATGCCTTTTCTTTCTTTAAAATGTCATTTTGTGGGAGAATGCTAATAGCTGGATTTTCTGGCTTTAACCAAAGAAATACTAATTATTAAACTCAAGGGTGAAAGCTGTAGAAAGTAGAATTCTAATCGTTCTGTAAGTAATTTCCTTTATCTGCCAAGAAAAAACAATGCTTATGCATTGAACATTGTTATCAGAAAAATTAGTTATAAATATGTGTTCAGTAGAAACATATATGAAATAATTAATTAGCGTGGATACATTAAACAGACCAGAATATTTTATACCAGAAATTTGCGCTATTGTGATTCCCTGCAAGTGAGAATTTTGCTTGCTTTATTATAATTTTTTGAGTTATTCAGCAACAGTAAAACATATGGAAGGGGGTCTCTGAAGTTTTTTATATTCTTCCTCATTTATTATTACAAACGCTGAACATCATTTTCACCTTTTAGAATCAAATGCCTTAGGAGGAAGTTTTCTATGTAAAAATCATACAGTGTTTTAAAATTTTTATTCAAAACTTTTTCTTTGACTATTCTTCAAAGCAAATAATTTATTGATTTCTCAGTCTAGCAAAATCACAATTCTCAACATCTTTCTCCAAATCTCTTTGATCTTAGAAACTAGAAAAATATACATTACTATTTATTCCTAAATTTTTAATCCCTCCACATTTTACCTTAATTTGCCCAAATTTATCAGCAGTAAGAAAGTAATTTGTCACTATGTAGAGATATACGAATTTCTTTAAAATGCTATGGTACATGTTAGGTTAATGTAAAAGATTGCTTCAGGTATAACCTGACCATGTAGCTTTAGCTCAGAACCATAATGTGATGCCTTTCTCTCTCTCTCTCTCTCAGAAGATTACTGAAAACCTAGTCTATGAAAAGCCAGAAGACCCCCTGAGTTTTATGCTGTGCCAGGTATGGAATAGGAAAAAAAGAACAAGCTTGTTATTCTGTTCATTATAAAATATAGCGCCCATACAAGTGTACAAAACATATACAACTCAGTGAATTATGAAGTGAGCACACCTGTAACTACCATTCAAGTTGAAAAAAAATTAAAACATTGCCAGCATCCGAGAAGCCCCCTTTCTTTTCTTCATGGTTATCACTCCCCACAAAGGGACTATTATTCTGAATTTTACAATAATGACATTCTCACTTTTCTTTATAATTGTACCATGAAACATGAATCATGAAACACTTTGGTTTAGACTTGTCAGGTTTTTTTTTTATTTATTTTTAAATTTCTTTTTATTTTTGGTTGTGGTTAAGAGCACGACTTCTAGAGCCAAAAGTTTTACTTTTGAGACTTTAAAAATGTGGTTTTAATTTTTCATGCAATTTTAAAAGGCTACTTTCCATCTACACTTATTACAAAATATTGGCTCTGCTCCCCATGTTGTATAATATATCCCTGAGCCTATCTTACACCCAGTAGTTTGCCCCCCACCACAGGTAACCACTAGCTTGTTCTCTATATCTGTGTAGGCTTGTCAACCTTTTAAACTTTATATAAAGGGAACCATGTAGTAGGGGCTCATTGGTTCATTCTTCTTCTCAAAATATGTCTGTGAGATTAATCGGTGCTGTTGTGTGTGGCTGTAGTTCATTCGTTTTCATTGCTATATAGTACTCATTGTATGAAATGCCACAATTTATCCTTTCTGTGATAGATGTGGACCTTCAGGTTATTTCCAGCTTGGAGCTATTACAAAAAAGTTTCCTAGGAACTTTCATGTGCATGTCTCTTGGTGCACATATACACCCATTTCTCTTGGGTGTATACCCACAAGAGAGAATGCTGGATTGTCAGGTATGTGTTTGATCAGCTCTAGTAGAGCATTTCAAACAATTTTCCAAAGCAATTGTACCAATTTACACTCCCAATAGCAGCGTATTTTAGAGTTCCAGTTGTCTTACATCCTTATCACTTACACCCAACACTTCGTATTATCAGTATTTTCAGCATTAGCCTTTTTTTTTTTTTTTTTTGCAGTGTGCGGGCCTCTCACTGTTGTGGCTTCTCTTGTCGAGGAGCACAGGCTCCGGATGAGCAGGCTCAGCGGCCATGGCTCACGGGCCCAGCCGCTCCACGGCATGTGGGATCTTCCCGGACCGGGGCACGAAGCCGTGTCCTCTGCATCGGCAGGCGGACTCTCAACCACTGTGCCACCAGGGAAGCCCCAAATAAAATTTTTTAAATAAAAAATAAGAGGCTTCCAAGTCAGAAAGGAAGAAGTTAAAGTTATCTTTTCCATTTAAAATGAGTAGCATTCTCTTGGTTTTCTATAACTAGGATAATTTCAATTTTATCCTTAACACTGTGAATATTATGCTGTGTAGACTTGAGTTCTGTCATACTCCTCTGACAAGTGATGGTGTTGTTTTTGTTTTAGCTGGCAGTTAACATGGTTAGATTTGAATTGTAAGCTCTCTCTCTTGCCTTCTGTGGTCATAGCTCAGGTCAGTTCCTCAAGCCTACTACTACTTTGAATCTGTCCTATGAATGCATGATTCAGAAGTCAACCTGAGGCTTGTGCAGAGTTCATGCACAGAATTAAGGAATCTCCTCCCCTCTTCTAGGATTTCCCCTCACTCTTCAGCATCTAGCCATATTTGACCAGTCTATTTCCTGTAATTCTTCCATCCAGAAAGACAGGGGGCTTTCTGTCATAGTTTGAGGCATTCTTGTGCAGCCATAGCTATGTCTGTGAGTCACGACTGTCATTGGGTCAAAATTACAAAAAATGAGAAATTCGCTCCATTTGGTCACTTGCTCTAAGTTTAGACTCCTCTCCAAAATCTGCCTGTCTTTGCTCAGTCACCAGAACCTTCAGGTAGCTGTGAGGTTTTTTGTTTTGTTTTGGTTTGTGGGTTTTTTCTTTTGTAGGGAGGGTTGTATTTTATCCATGAATACATAGCTGTTATTTGCAGAATTCATTTTTTTTTTATTGCTTACTCTTGCATATAGGAAGCAGATCTTCCTTTTTAATGTGTAATATATACATATGGGTTTTATCACATAAATTTAAGTGTGTGGTGTTTTTAGTTTATTTAGTTCAAAATAGTCTCTAATTTTCATTATGATTTCTTCTTCAACTTATGGATTTTCTGACATTAGATTATTTATATAAATTATCAAATATTAGATATCTAGTTGCCCTTTGGTTTATGATTTCTAAGTCAATTGCATTTTACTCAGAGAGCAAGATTTCAAATCTTTGAAATGTGTTGACTTGCTTTATTATGCAGCATATGGCTAATTGCCATGAATGAATTAATTGGGGTTGAAAAAATATTTATTCTGCAATTATTGGGAAGTGTCTAAATATATCCACTAGATCAGGTTTGCTAAACATGTTGTTCAAGTCGCCCAGTATTACTGTGAATTTCCCTATCTCCTATAGTTCTGTCAATTTACACTGTGTATATGTAATTGAGGCTATGTTATTAGGTGCGTATGAATTTAGAGTTCTTATATTTTTCTGGTAAATTGAATTTTTATCATTAAGAGGTATAACATGAACTCTAACTACTCCTTTCAATATTGTTATAGCTATACCAGATTTATTTTAGTCAATATTTAAATGGTATATATTTATTATTTTTAACTTTACTCTGTCGTCTTTTAGATATCTTTCTTATATATAGCATGTATTATAATTTTTATAATTATTCAAATCTGATAAGCTTTTAATTGGAGCATTTAGTCCCTTTATATTTGATGTTATTAAAGATACGTTTGGGTTTAAATCTATTGTCCTACCATATGCTATTTGTCCTGCCTGTTTTGTTTCTTTTCCTCTACTTTTTATCTTCTTTTATTGTTCGATTTTTCCCTCTATTTAGAAGTTATACCCTCTTAATCTTTTTTTTTTTTTTGGTTTCACATTGGGGTGATTTTTAAAAATTAATATACTTTATTTTTTAGAATGGTTTTAGGCTTACAGAAAATTTGAGCAGAAAGTACAGTGAGTTCCCATTTACTCCCTCTCCTTCCCGCATTTCCCCTATTATTAACATCTTGCATTAGTTTGGTAGATTTGTTGCAGTTGATCAGCCGGTTTGATATATTATTGTTAACTGAAGTCCATGGTTTACATAAAGTCTCTTTGTGTTGTACATTCTATAGGTTTTGACAAATGTATATGATATGTATCTATAATTACAGTATCATACAGAATAAGGTCACTGCCCTAATAACCTTCTTAATATTTTAAATGGTGTCCCTAGATATTACAACACGTATTCGTGACTTATCAAAGTCTAAATTATTTGTACCAAGTCAGTACAAGGACTTCTGTATTTTATTTTATTTTACTTTAATTTATTTTTTTTTTTACATGACAATCTGTTGAGCATCTTTAACAGTCAGGAAACCTGCAAATTAAATTTACAGTAAGATAATATGTAAAACCACAAGATAGCAAAAATTTAAAAGGACTTCAGTATTTTAAACGTCTATATATTTTAACCCTACAAGATAAGGTAACTCCAAGTAGACCAAAACTGCAAGTGGAAAAAATTCTTTTTCATTCTCCTCAGGTACAGGAAATGATACAAAACAGAAAGAAACGTGAAACCTATGAAGAATGAGTCTCTCCTCAACATGGTTTACAACCATCAGTGTCAACACTATGTTCTGTTTCCCACTCTGAAAAATCATTTTTGAATGGTCATTTGTAGTGACTCTGCCTAAATGTGTTCTTATTTTTTAAGTAAAAATCTACTGAGTAGCTTCGTAAAATTCACATAACAGTTACAGATACCGCTGGCTCATCATACAAAAACATAGGCACATATACTTATCCATGCATTGATATTTCAGTACTCATTCCTCCAAAGCACTGAACAGAAACACGTTCACAAATCCCAGAGAGGATCAAGAAAAGAATATGAGCAATTTATACGCAGTTCCCAAAAGCATACAAACCCATCATGTCTCGAAACTGTTTATAAAATTTTCAATCGGAAAATGTGTGGAAAATAATTCGTAACAGCACTTTTTTCTCCCTTAATGGAAGGTAACTGTTGTAAGATCTTTTCTTGTTTCTTAATACCTCCAACAAATTTTTACTATTTTCCTCTTTGACCCTGCCTGTTATATTCTGACATTAATGGAAGTGATTTAATCTATTCCGAGGGATAGTCCTCTTCTGATTTTTAACCTAAAGCAAAACTCAGACCTGTTATACTACTCTGTATACACCTGTGGGAGAGGCAGAATGTCACTTCCTTATTACCTTTATCCTCTGAAGTGTCTGCATCGTGTGGAATGTGTAGCCAGTTGAACTGGTATTTAAAAGCAAAAAGCCTCAACGTGGTCTACCTGGTATGAGAGTATCTGCCCAGCAATCATAACTGAGATGATCATCTGATACTACTTTTGTGAGCTGAACCTTTCATTTAATTTCTATTTGAACATTATAGCAGACTTGATTCTTCATTACTGTTTCCCTGGCGATTTGGTAAAATTATGTGGTGTATTGCAATGAATTAAGCCTCTGTTTGAACAATCATGCATAAATCCCTTTTTGTATACCTGAATTTCATGTCTAATAATTATAGTTTTAAAATCTCTACTTACAGCTTCAAAGCTTCTTTAGTTTTTCCTTCAATTGTCCACAAAATGTGCCAGTGCCCAGACTCAATAAATGTTCTCCAGGCGGATAAGCAGCCTTTCTGTTGATTGTGGGCTGGCAAAACTAGGTAAAAGCTGATAAACTTACAGTGAACCTGTGAGAAATCTTTGAGTGACATGACTAAGGTTATAATTAATCAGTTGATAGAACAAAATAACCCAAATATTGAAGGGTCAACAATATCATTAGTGATCAAAAACTTGGATGTTATCAATAACATCTGAAATTAAATACTGAATTTAGTTCGCTGGTTTTCAGCCCTAACACTTTACTATGTTTCTTAAAGCAGAGCACCTCAAAACTAGTCCACCTCAGCCACTTCAGCCCTTCTCATTGGCATTCTGTGATGCATTTCAGAGCTGTCATTTTGACCTTTCACATTGAGGCAGTGGACCAGAGGGGATGGGCTCGGTATGGTCCAGTGATCCTGTCTGAACATGTTTGACTGAAAGGAGAAGGGAGAAAATGGAGATCAGGCCTCGCTCTCAGTGACTCAGGCTCTCTACTAAAAGATCTGTATAGTGCACAAGATCAGTCAGCGAAAAGTATATTCAGTTCTTAGTCCCTAAGTGGTAGGAAGTAGTCCCAGACCAGGAGTAAAGGTGAGACTCTAGGTGGAGCTGGCTGTCAACCAGAAGAGGAAGAAGAGTCCCAACCTTTTCAGAGTAAAACTGACAGAGGACATGGAATGACACATGGAATATAAAGGTAATGGGAATAAAAGTTTCAATGTCAGAACAAGCAGAGATCAGAAGATATGATCTCCCTTGAAGGAATCCCCCAAGGATGCTTCTAAAAAAAGGAGTTATTCCTATAGATATGAGGTGTGAGTGTCTCAAGTATTGATATTAGATTTTACCTGAGCAATCCTGGTGACGCTCCCTCACTACGTTCCCCAGCCACCCCAATCTCCTCACAGTAATAGAGAATGAAGCTACTAGAACAGTTTTCCTGGGCATATCCCTTCCTCTCTTCCATTTAAAGAATAAACATGACATCATTTGTCATTAGGGAAATGTAAACCAAAACCACAATGAGATGCTACTTCACATCCACTAGGATGGCTATAATCAAAAAGACAGACACTAACAAGTGTTGACAAGGCTGTGGAGAAATTAGAATACTTATACTGGTAGTGGAAATGTAAAATAGTGCAGCTGTTTTGGAAAACAGTTTGGCAATTCTTCAAAAAGTTAAACATTATCATATCACTCAACAATTCCACACCTAGGTATATACCTAAGACAACTGAAAATATATGGCCATATATAAACTTGTACGAGAGTGTTCATAGCAGTGTTCGTAATAACCCCAAAGTGGAAACAACACAAATGCCCATCAAGTGATGAATGGATTTTTTAAATGTGATGTTTGACAGATGAACGGATAAACAAAATGTGGTTTATATATACAATTGAATATTACTCAGCCTTAGAAAGGAATGAAACTCTGACACATGCTACACCATGGATGAACCTTGAGGACATTATGCTAAGTGAAATAAGCTAGTCACAAAAGGACAAATACTGTGTGATTCTACTTATATGAGGTGTCTAAAGTAGTCAAATTCAGGGACTTCCCTGGCAGTCCAGTGGTTATGACTTTGCCTTCCAGTGCAGGGGGTGTAGGTTCGATCCCTGGTCGGGGAGCAAAGATCCCACCTGCTTTGCGGCTAAACTAGTCAAAAGCATAGAGACAAAGTAGAATGGTGGTTATTGGACTGGGGGAAGGGGAAAATGGGGAGTTGTTTAATAGGTATAGAATTTCATCTCTGCAGAACGGAAAAGGTCTGGAGATCTGTTGCACAGCAATGCGAATATACTTTACTGAACCATACACTTACAAATGGTTAAGATGGTAAATGGCAGGTGTTTTCTACCACAATTTTAAAAAGTTAAAAATGAAAAAAATTATATATCCATACAATTGAATATTGTTTGGTTATTAATAAAAAGGAATGAAGTACTGATATATGACTGTGACTTGGGTGACCTTAAAAGCATTCTGTGAAGTGAAAGAAGCCAGTCACCAAAGGCCACATAGTATATGATCCCATTTATGTTAAATATCCAGAAGAGGCAAACCCATAGAGACAGAGAGTAGATTAGTGGTTGCCAGGGGTAGGGGAGGGGGAGCAGTGGAGAGTGAATGCAATGAGAATGAGGTTTCTTTCGTGGGTGATGAAAATGTTCTAGAATTAGATAGTGGTAATGGTTGCACAACTGTCCAAAAGGCACTGAATCGTACATTTCAAAAGGGTGAAGTTTATGGTATATGAACTGTGTATCAATAAAGCCTTTTTAAAAAAATTAATGTGGAGATAAATATTTTAAGTCCATTTTATGACAGAGGAGAGTGAAAGAGAATAGCTATGAAACTCAGAAACAATAGAAATGGGAATACCCCAGCCTTCCAGAATTATCCCTCTACTTCCCCCATTCTTTACAAATCCCCTCGTTTTACTCTTCAGTCTCTTGCATACACTTTATTTTCTTTTAAATTGGCCTCCTGTTATTTCATGTTTGTATGTATATGTATGTGAGTGTGTTTCCAGCTCACTGAGATATAACTGACATATAACATTGTGTGAGGTTAAGGTGTACAATGTAATGATTTGATATATGTATATATTGGGAGATGCTTTCCATGATAAAGCCTCCTATTATTTCTTGACCTACTTATTCTCAGTTTTACTCACCCTCTCTCCGCCACTCACCTTCTTTTGCTCTTTTGTCATCAGCCTTTATGTCAACACTGTGCAAACCACCTATTCTTTTTTTTTTTTTTTTTTGGCTGCACCGTGTGGCGTGCAGGATCTTAGTTCCCCGACCAGGGATCGAACCCATGCCACCTGCATTGGGATCACAGAATCTTAACCACTGGACCACCAGGGAAGTCCCATGCAAACCACCTATTCTTGTGAATAAGAAGTTGTGAGTATATAATTATACTTATGTCTGCTGATGTTTTTGTACTCACATTTGTCCAGATATGTTTTTGTATAATAGGGGTGTGGACAGGTATGGTTCCAGATGGCTGTGTACCTATGCTTGAATCTTTATGCCAATTATTTGATTGGAAACATTGTAAGGCTAAAACTCAGATAAAGAGAATTGTGTTGTTATGAGTGGCAAACAATATTAGTGTGCCAGTGCCTTATTAGGCTTTCAAAAGGCTATTTTTTTACCTGCAGTGTTGGCAGAATTTGCAACAAGTTGACACCAGATAGACAGTGGTAGTGTGGCTTATTCTTATGAACAGATAGGATTCCAATGGGTAGAGTTAAGTTGTCTGCCTAATTCTGTTTTAATTTTTTTAAAAAAGCCAAAGCAGTCCTCCTCAAACTCCATTAAAATTAGAGTAAATATTTACAAAAAGAAGTAAATCCATTTTAATACTCAAAGCAAAAGGGAGAGAAACCAGAGATTTTTATGATTTCTGTAAACGGAAAGCAGATGGGGCAACAATAATGGGTAAATTAGGGCAGACAACCCACCTAAGAACCCACAGAAGCAGCTAAGTGCAGGATGTTTTCCAGGCAGACCTCAGACAGCTCCACAGTCAGCGTGGGCAGGTACAGGGAAGAGGAGTGAGCTGTGAGTAACAAAGGACTCCTCCTTTCTTATGACCTTTATACTCTATTTTAGTCACCCACCACTGGAGCCACACCTTGTCATCACCAAAACTGTCCCACAATGAAATCACGCATATAGTCAAATTACACTTCCAGAAATGACACTGCACCTGGAGAATTTTATAGAGAAGATTTTTATCACATTTTTGTAATGAGAGAAAAGTGGGGATAATTGTCCAACCTCAAAATTGACCAACCACAGATTGATCAAATAAATTGTGGCATATCCATGCAATGAAATTCTATTCATCCAATTAACGTTGCTGTAATTATTGTATAATTATTTGGATGAGTATAGTTGGATCTACCCCATATCATAT